GTGATTGGAAAAGTGCTTGAGTGTTGATAGAAGAAGGCAGGGACTTGAAATTAACACTGAAAATATTTAAATTAAATTATAAATATCTGTACTAGGCAGCAGCTAGAATTTCTCTATGAAATGTAGTCAAAAATATATATCAAATATTATGGAAAATTAACCGGAAAAGCTACTGTTATTTCCATTTAAGACTCTCACCCTGCGGTGGGACCATCAATATATATTGTGTGTATATAGAGTGATGAGTTCAACGATTCCTGCGGGTAAAAAGCAGCTGAGCAAACAAGAAACTCAGATACAAAATACAGATATTCCGCAACACACTGGGACACGAGAAGGGAAAGAGATATATGATATTTAGGGCCTGAAGGTCATTGCAACAATAACTGGGCCTGGCAGTAAAATATTTTATAATATTTTATGTTTTTTTAAGCGCCACAACACTGTGTCATTGCTGGGATCCTTGTGTGTGTGAGTACGAGTGGGTCTGTGTTTGTTTGAGGTCCTTGCCTCTTGTTTGCTGTTGTGCGACTTGAATGCAAGGACCTCCTCCTCACACTCACACACACACACACCGACCCATACCAGCGGCAATAAAAAATGAGAAACACATAGAGTTCGCATAAAAATGGAGAAAACTGAAGGAGAACTGGCAGAGAAACAACAATGTGTATTACTTTGTTGGCCCAACAATTCCACAAAGGAATATAACTCATGCAGAAGCACACACTCATACACACACACTCAGTCCTCCCCCTCCTCACCCCCCCCCACATTTTGTGCCAAAAATTTTTGAGAAGAATTTGCAAAGAGCAGCCGAGGTGAAACTATGCAAAAATTATGATTGTGCAGGAATTATGTGTTTGTTTTGATTAAGCTCGGCTGTGCGAGACCGGGCATATCCTGTATGTCCTGGCCGGCAAATTATCCTTTTGCCAACCCTCATCAATGTGTGCTGCTGCTGGTAAAAATATTTGTTTGTTTTTACTCACTGCGCTGGCAGGCAAACTAAATGGCTTTGGTTTCTGGTTTCAGTTTGGATTTGGGTTTTTCGGACCAGGGCAATTTTCATCTTTATCTGATTTTAAACTTTGCAAATTATATAGGAAAACACACACACACATATATATATATCTATGCTCCTCTGCTCTGCTTAAACATTTACGTAACCTTTTTTATCTAAACGACTGATCCAAACCGGAGGGCGAGGACCTTCGGCGTTAATTTTCATAAAATACCAATTTCGGTATTTTTATCAGTCTAAAAGCCAAAGGAAGGACATGGCTTACCCCCTGCTCTTGTACAATTATATTTTCTAATCTCCATCGGTGAACATTTTCCAGAAAATTATAAATAAATTACCTTCTATCTGAGTGAGAGACAAAATGCCTCAGTGGCGGCGAAACATTTTCAAGTTTTCAACATTTAAGCTTTTCGCAATTTTCCTTTTGTCGGAAGTGTGGCGCCATGCAGGATCCTCGGATCCTTGCGAATCCTGGCATGCTGTGAGCACATTTAATTACTGCTACTTTTCTCTATGAAAATATCCCAGGACAGGAGGCGAGTCTAGACATTAAAAACGACAATTTATCTAAAAAGTAATTAAGTGCTCAAGTCACACAGACAGGGCGCAGGAGCAACAGGACAAACATGGGAATCGGCATTGGCATGGCTCGAGGAACTGGAATTAAACGCAGAGCAGAGTGGCAGAGGTCAAGGGGGGAGGGCAGAAAAAAAAGGGGTGACAGCAAGTCAACTGAAAGTCCCCGAGAGACATCTATATATAGTACGACTTTATATGGGTTACAGTGATTGCTGTCGAGAGGGGGAAAATATTCAACTTATATAAGCTTTTAATTGGTGAAAATTACATTTTAAATGTATAAAAAAACATATTTAAATGAGTTCTCCTATAATTTATTTATTTAAATATAAGAAACATATTTGAAAAATGATTTAAAATATTTTCAAAATATTTTTTTGATATAAAAAGTAATACTTTCTGTTAGTAGTCTCAATTTTTCTATATTTTTCCTTCCCAAAATATAATATCCTTAGCCCACAAACCAGTTATATCCTTTTATTTTATTTTAGAATCCCTTAACCCTAGTCCTGGCCGTACCATAAATATTTTAAGTGACTGTTACTGCTGCTCGAGTGCTGATTTAGTTCAATTTATATGAGCCAAGCCAAAGGGTTACTGCTGCTGCTGATGATGGTATCCTTCGAGTCCTTTGGCTCACACAGGACACACACGTATTTGCTTAGTTTATTTTAAATGCCATTTAAGCTGCTGCTCTCGACTAATACCCTAATGACATATTTTAATGTCCGCCCAGCCACATTCGAGTGTCGTAATTCTTAATTCGAAGTGCTCTTCCACATCCTTTTTCCCCTCCATATGAGATGTGAGCCATGTGTGTGTGTGTGTGTGTGCAAGGACTCTTCTTGCTGTTTGTGTCATTTGATTTATGGGCTTTAAATTTGCCAGAAAATTTCCATTTCAGGGCATAAGGAAGATTTGTCTTTAGGCCCTGGAAAAAAGCTCGTAATTAATAGCATTACTTTAATGGAAAGTTGTCAACAACGTTCTTACAAAGAAGGCATTAAGTGTGCTTAACTTTAAGGTATTTCCACTCCCATTTTCACTCGTATTTCTTCTGACATTTCCCTTCCCTTTTCCCTTAATTTTCCCTCCCTATATTTCTCTCTTAAAAGCCAACCACTGCGAAATGATGGCGCGACAAAAATGAAAATTGCAGCAAAATGCCGAAACAAAGGCGCGCTGGCTCGCTCTCTCAAGGAAGCAATTCATTTATTTAATGTTTCCTGCATTTTATTGTCGTCCAAAGCAAATTTACGACAACGAAGGCCGCCGCACAAATACAAAAAAATAGGATCCGCGGAAGTGTTTAGTGTATATTCTTTAAGTGAAAATGGGAAAGCCTCTTCCCCTCCTCTACCTACCCGAGAGCACAAACAAAGGCAAACAAACACCTGACAAAGGCATTTCAATTGCGAATCCTGCCGCAGTGCAGAAGAGTCGAAATCGGAATATGGAAATCATTTGCCAGGGAGCTGGAGCTGTATATTTCCTGTCCACTGAACTGGCACTCGCATCTCTGCCATTGCCATTCGCATAATGCCTGCAGGAGATTTTAATGCCTCACACACACGCACACACATGGTGCGGGCAATGAAATGAAAGTGCATTTCCCATTTAGACCAAGGAGCTGCTGCAGCTCTCTCAAAGAGCTTTAAGTTTTGCATGACTCAGGGTGAGCACTGGGAGAAAAGTGGGAAATAGATATTAGAAATGGAAAGGAATCGTTGGGTTACAAGATTAAGCTGTTGCTTAAAATAGATCTATTGTACTTATAAATAAGTGTTAGGCTGAGAAGAAACCTTATAAATTCTTAGATAATTTATACATTTCCCTCTAGTATTCTCCTCTCTAAATTTCTTCCTGTGCTGCCAGTCTGCCAATGAAATTTCCGTCTCATTGGGGACCTGCTCCAGCGTCGTCTCTCTGTGTGCCAATTACGCAATGAGTGCGTGAAGCCTTGCACATCTACTATATGCATTTATATAGTAAATAGGGCTGTAACCTAATGAATGCAGCTGGCGAATTAAGCTGAATCGCTTTGAGAGCCATGCAATTAAAGGCCCCGATGCCCGGCGGGGCATTGAGTCTTGGGAGTACCATATATAGTATAGTAGTAGCTCTAGCCCCACGACACATCGATGATAATATTTTGTTAACCCCAATGAGGCCTGGCTGTGCGGCATACAATTACCATAATACAAATTGGCAACTTATTAGGCCGAGACGATACCCCCAAAACTCCCTGGCCCACATAAGCTAGCGTATATCCACTTGAGCACGCAGTCGTCCAGAGTGCAAAGTGCCAACCACATACACTCCAAACTGACTGCCTACGAGGACTTAAGTGCTTATTAACTTCCGCACACTTGAAGGCGCAATTATGAAATCGTCAATTTAAACCAGACACGCAGCAAACACGCGCACGGTTTCAGTTCGGGATGTTTTTCGGGAAGGGAAAGGAGAGGAGAGAGTGTCCATTCAGGGGAGAGGGAGTGTCCAGGATTGTGTTGGTGGTAAACACCTCCGTGACTTCGGGGCTCAAACAAATACACGGCACGTGACACACACCACGGCGTATGAGTAATAACTCTAGACAAGCGGAAAATTAATACCACTTGAGGCCATGACATGTCAATGCTAACCCCACACACACACACACACAGCGAAAAGTCTAATTTGTCTCCTTCTCTCTTTCGTCCTGGCAGTCAGTCTCTGTCTGTGTGTGTTTTAGGCCATTTTGCTCAGCCTGAAATGTCCGAAATCTGTGTGTTTACTACCATATGAGTTTGCCTTTGGGGGCCGAAACGAAGTCTTAGGACACAAGTGCCCTCGATAAGCAGAGGGACTTAATTAAATTCCCTGGCAGATGTGGATGGTGGTCAGCAGAGAATAAATAAGTCAGAGTTGGGAATCGAATGAAGGCGATATCAAACTTAATAAAAGAATATTCTTGAATATTTCTTAATATTTTGAGATGTATAGGTAAGTTTATGATAACTTAATATCCTTTAAAATATATAAACTCAATTTTATACCTAAAAATCCTTCAAATCCTAAAACCCGGCATTCACCGTACACTCAACCCCATAAATTTAAGCCTCAGAAATTCCAGACTCCAACAGACTTAAGCTCATTTAAATCAAAGTAATCTGGAATAAGACCTTACTAAAACAATCAGTCTGTGATCAATCTCTCATCAATTAACATTCAATGCGTTTCCATTTCAATTATGGGGAAAAAGCCCAGCGAAATCCAGTTCTTTTGACAAAAGAAACTGGCACAAAAGTCATCATCGTCGTCGTCGTCATCGTTCTCTTCGCTGGCCCAGTCAAACAAAGCAACAGTGATGGATTCGCATTTAATAAAATATTAAAACAATGCTGGCGGTACTCACCACACCCTCGCCAATGTGATGGACGGTGCAGGGTACATGGGCGGTGGCCCCGATCTGCGTGGTCACCACCGTGGAGTTCTCGGTGCCAAAGTACATGGGCGTGCCGAACAGGTCCAGGCCCCCGTCCAGTCCGTTTCCACCAGCCTCCAGATGATTCTCCGATGGATGCGGCTCTGGCCGGTGGACGGGTATGGGATAGGGTCCTGCCGTGTCCTTTGCCTGTATGCGTGAATGGGAGTGGGAATGCTGCTGCGGCTGCTGCTGTGACTCCTGCAGGTGTGTGGGCGTGGGCTGGCGCTTGTCATCGATCACATTCGTGGAGTCGAAGCTGGTGATGCTGCTGCCACTGCCACTGCTACTACCCCCTCCCACGCTGGCCATGGATCCTGGTCCAGGACTCTGGGCAGCGTAAGGCTGCGGCACGGGCACTGGCTCTGGCTCTGCCTCCTTGGACTGCGACATAATTAAATTTTGATTTATATGCCGCAGTGATGGCTGCGCGCTGGATGTGGAGGCTTCTGATGGTCCACTGCCACCCTCCGGCGCCGCTGCCGCTGCCGAGGCCGAGACTGTGTGGTCTGCAAAAGAGAGAGAGGGAGGAGAGGCACACGGTGACATTATAAAATGTGTTAATATATGCGCTGTCCGGTGGCGCCGCAACAGTTTGTCGGATAAACAATAACAGCGAGAAGTCAATTAATTTGAATGAGCGCCTGGCGCGTGCGTATACGTAATATTTTACAGCGGGATTTTCATTAGGCTAGAGCCCAGGCCCCCCCTCAAAGAAATCTGCATAAAGTGACAGGACTAATTAAGTTGCCTGACCTTGTTACGCATTTCATGGAATTTTCCCCGAAGCTAACTGGTAGTCTTAAGGAAGAAGGGCAGGAAATTAAGGTATAACATAAATAGGTTAATTTAAGGGAGGGATTTCTATGAGTTGGATGATTAATTAAGATAAAAAACGTAGGAAATATTATATATTTTTATACAAGAATTTATTTTCTGAAATGTAAAAAGGTTCTTTTATGTTAAAGCAAATTATTTAGGAAGTTAATTTTTATTATAATAAATTTTTTTTATTTTGTGTTCCAGTTCAATCTGGACACTGGCTACCCTTTAGTCCACCCTTTTCCCTTAAAATTTCGCACTGGCAACCTGCTGACCCACAGCGCCACATCTAAAATTGCCAGAAAATTCACCCGCAGACTCTCAACCGCATTACATATTACCCAAACCCGAACCCAAGCCCGAAACCCGTTTGGCCCTGAGTCTGCTTTTATTTGCGCTGCGTAATTTGTGTAAAATTCGTTGGGCCAACAAAATAATATTTCACAATTAAAGATAATTGCTTTTGGCAAACATGCTTGGGTTTTGTTTAGCAGCCTCAATTAGGCAAAATTTGCCAGGCTGCAAATTCAATTATGGCCAATGCATTTTCGGGCTCGTTTTTGATTTTGATTTCTTGGCCACAAAATGTGCAGAAAATGTTGATGTTTGGCTTTCATTTTGGCCACGTCCAGCGGGACCATGGGGACCTCTAATTGTGTTCAGTATCCAGTGCCGTAAATATTGCATGCCAATCATTGTGAAATTTATTATGTTGTCCCGACAATGATTGAATTTACAGACCAAAAACAGAAGGCCAGACCAATGCACTTTGTGTAATGCAAAATTAATTAGTTATGGAATTCGCCTGGGGCCTATTTGCAGTGGCTCCTGAGGAATGACACTCAATTAGCACGTTGCCAAGACGTTGGTCAGATTTTGCCATTAATCGTGAGGTGGTCCATTGGCATCTTCCTGGAATTTTGTATGACTTTCTGAACTTGAAAGGAATTCTCCTTGAGCCTGGCTTCTCCATGGGGATTGAAAATCAATTTACCCAGCTGTAACACAAGCGAACAATCGAGTCAATCAATGCAGCTTCTTCTGATTGACACCTTAGAAATAGCCCCCTTGGAACCGAGCGATTGCTCCCTGAATTGACATGTGCAGAAGAAGTGTGTGTTGCCACAGCAATTTGCAACTGCAGCCGCACAGGAGTCAGGATTCAGGAGCCAGGAGCCAGGAGCTATTCCTTCAGCTCCACCTCGAGGTCAGCCAGGATTCCTCGCATTTGACATTTCGCACTCTGCGGTTTTTCTATTGTATTGCGGCTGCAGCCTTATGAATACGAAGAAGCTGGCCAGAAGCTGGGTGACACTGAGGGAAATAGTTGGGAAAACTACAAGGTTTTAACGAGAAAATTCGGTAAAAAAAAGGGGAAAAGGATTTGTTGGGAACTTGTAATTTGAAAATTGTTGAGGAATAAATGATTACATTTAATTTTTACAAGAAACTCTTGAGCAGGAAACATTGCCTAAGACCTACCTACCTGTTTTTAACACTTTTAATCAACGAAACTCTTACAAAACTCTTTTAAAAAGACCCTGAATTTTCTCTCAGTGTTTGTGCTATCAGGACAATTCGCTTTGCACGCACAAAACAAACAAATAACCAGCTCGGGACAATGCGATTGCTGGTGTTGTTGCTGCTGTTACTTCTGATGCTGCTGCTGCTGCTGCTCCTTGTTGTGGCTGTTGCTGTTGCTGCTCCTACTCCTCCTCATTGGCACGCAGAACTTGGCCAAAACTGAATCGTGGCATTTTCGTCACGTTCGCACGTGACTGACTGCTAGCGACATGCAGCTTTTCCTGCCCGTTTTCCCATCCCCCTCAGCCACGCTACATACGTAAGCGTAATCGTAATGGTCGCTGGCAGACCGCAAAACAGCTTCTGAACTAGTTGCCAGTTCGACTGCCTTTCCCTCAACCACTTTCCCTTTGCACTTTCTCCTGGTCCGCGTGTAAATTTGCATTCTTTCGATGGTTTTGTGCGACTTTGTAATTGAATTTTTCACGGTGGAGTCCGTCGGAGTCCGTCGTCCGTACTTCCCTTTCGAATTTTTCTCGTTTCCGGCGGTTGGCCCTGGGATTTGGTAACCGGCTCCGCATTGTGCAACCACCGGTCGGTGCTCTGCATTGTCAACACGGCCAAGGGTGAGAGCGAGAACCAGAACCAGAACGAGAACTGGTCCCAATCCTAAAACCGAATCCAAAACCCTGCTGCAACCACAAACATGTTGCAGCACAGAGCCATACAGATAGAACAACATTTTCGGTGGGATTTCGCCAACTTTTCGTTTGGCGAAACATTTGCAATTTGTGTGCGTTCGCTAAAGTTTCACGCCCCTCACCGCCACCCGCTCCTTGCTGCCTGTGTTTGCTACGACATTTTAATCAAAAGTTCGCTGCAAGCTGCGTGATTCATCCGCTGGCCCAGCCATCCAGCCACCCAGCCACCCTTCCACCCTACTCTCTACTCAACTAATATCAATGATTTCTCATGTGCCCTCGTGTCGACGCCCCACTGTGGCGGAATATTTATGCTGCCTCTGACATCATGGCTTGACATTAATTAAGTTTGCTTGCTGGCACAACCACACACGGCGTATGCGCAATGTCGACAGAACTAGCTGCAATATCTCTTATTTCGGTAAGGGAATGGTTTTTTATGATTTTTGAAATCCAGGAGGGTAAGGTAATATTAAGGAGTAGGAGATTTCCATAACTAAGGAATATATGAGGAATATAGGGGACATATATGGGGGATATATGAGAAAATTGTGGGAATATATGAGAATTATATGTAGAATATATGAGAAATATATGAGGAATATATAAGGAAAAATGGGGAATATGTGAGGAATATCTTTAAAGCATTTAAAAAAGCATAAAAAATAATCAAATTAATGATAACCCACATACATACATTTACTTATGTTTATAAACCACCAAATGTTGTATGTTTTTGTTCTTTCAAATTAGATCTAAATGCGAATTTTCCCAGGTTTTTTATTTGCAATTTACTTATTTAATTGCTTCAATGTCCTCGCCTTGTCATCAATTAAATTAAAGGCTGAACAAAAAAACACTTTTGGCAAATATCATTATGATAATTGTGCGGGCTAGCGACATCCTGTGCGCCGAGCCCTGGCTGGGACTCATTAATTTCATTTGATTTCATATTTAATGTAACGAACATGGCGCGCATAAATTTCTCTAATTAAAACACAAATAAATGGCGAGTACATTTCCGATTCGCCCGGAATAATTTATTCCATTTGAGCTGCAACTAAATTTGCGGTGGCAGTTATTTAAAGCACCAACAATTGACACAAATTCGAGGGCCAACTTTTTAGGCCATCGAGAGTGCAAGGGGGACAATTGACCATAAAACAACGACACGGCCTGCAACTAGCTAGCTGGCTGGCTGTTTGAAATTGAAAAGTTTTAATTAAATGTATGGCCGAATGCCGAAATTTATCAATTAGAAGCTCAGCTTCAAAAATTTTCGTTTGGAAATTTTTTAAAGTAAACTTGAAGTTAAGCAAGGGAGTCTGGCGGAAGTTTGCTTCATTACAAAACTTTTCCCGGCGCTTTCTGTTTTTATGGCAAATATTGTTTGTTGCCACAGTCGTCGTTTTCGTCGTCGTCGTCGTCGTGTTTGCATTTGACACTTGGCGGTAATTTGTGTGTAAATGCGTCAACTGGCCCAGGCCCCTGACCTCGAAGATTTCCCTTCGCTCCATCCTGGAGCCTGGATCTTGGGGGGACAAAAAGTTTTCCTCCAACGCCACCATTTAATTGAAATTCTAGAAAATGGCCCACGCATGCCTGCTTTGTAGCTTTGTTGCCTTGTAACTTGGCAACTTGGCTAAAAGTTGTGCCTTTTCGGCCAAAAGCGATTCACTTTGCGACTGTCATAATTTTGATGGTCGCAAGTGTAAAATCAGATAAGTGCGCCACACACTTGCCGCTGACTATTCGCCCATTTATTTTCCAATAAAGCCTCCTCTTCCACGGGGATGGGGGGGCGTGGCCATCATTAATGTCGCGGATCCCCTGCAGAACGCAACGAGCGAGCACCACTAACGCCAACTCTCGTAAAAAGGCATTAAGAGGCAAAAGTAAAGTGCCTATTTAAGTTGAGTCATAAAATGGCTTTCTATCTGCAAAGGGAATGGCAGATGCTTCCCCGAAAAGAAAAGAAACGAAAAGAAATGGGAATAAATGCGAACATTCTGTGGGGAAGACGAGGTCTCTCTTTCTCAGCATTCTAATTTTATTTATTTTATTTCAATTCGTGTCTAAGTGCCCAACTTGGGGTTTTCCATTCGGCACACAATATGCTTCTCAGGCTCAGGCTCACCCCGGGCTCACCCCGATAAATTACCAAGTTTTAAATAGTTGGTAGACGGGGAAAGATGCCTTAGTAAAATTCCAGCTAATTGCGGAATCTTGTGAGCGAAAACTTCTACATCCGTTGTCAGGGTCTGATGAATCCCTCAAAATATCTACATAAATATCTATTTTTAGGCGCGACTTTAGCAGCACTTTATGCCTCAATAAATAAAGGCTCAAATGGGACACACAAAGGATATGTGTACAGAGGGAAAATATGTGGAAAAGAATTCTCAACGAAAGTATATTTATATTAATGAAATAAAAAGCCATTGTTAAACAAAGGAAATATT